AGAATGGCCCACGCTTACAACCCAGTGGCTTCCAGATAAGCAAGAGTATGCGCTAAAATCATACTGGTCCATTGATCAATCTAACCAAAGTCTATCTTCAGAGTCCCAGACAAGCCCTACTCAACCCACCGTCTCCTTATCGGCACACATACCACTGGGGATGCACAGAATTACCTCCAGATTGCCCAGGTGCAACTCCCAAATCCTAATGTCCCAAACCCGGCAGATTACGATGAAGAAAAGGGAGAGATTGGAGGCTATGGCGGGGGTTCGAAGAAGACTCAAATGGAAATCAAGTTCAACATTGTGCAAAAGATCGATCACAAGGGCGAGGTCAACAAGGCCCGGTATCAGCCACAGAACCCGAATATCATTGCGACAATGTGCACAGATGGCCGGGTGATGATCTGGGATCGCTCCAAGCACCCCAGCTTGCCAACTGGCACAGTGAACCCTCAAATGGAGCTCCTGGGTCACGAAGCTGAAGGTTTCGGGCTCAGCTGGAACCCTCACGTGGCTGGTCATCTCGCAACAGGCAGTGAGGATAAGACTGTCCGACTTTGGTAAGCCCGCGCAACATGCAAAACCAGCGATTTGATGTGACTAGCAGCTAATGAGGCCCACCACAGGGACATTACTACATACACCAAGGGTAACAAGGCAGTGCGGCCGAGCCGCACTTTCACTCACCACTCCTCAATCGTCAACGACGTTCAACACCATCCTCTCCACTCCTCTCTCATCGGAACCGTCTCCGATGATATTACGCTTCAGATCCTTGATACCCGCCAGGATGATTCCACTCGTGCGGCTGCCTCGGCTGAAGGCCAGCACCGCGATGCCATCAACTCCATTTCCTTCAATCCTGCTTCTGAAACGATCCTGGCCACGGGTTCTGCCGATAAGACTATCGGTATTTGGGATCTCCGTAACCTCAAATCGAAGCTCCACTCACTGGAGGGCCACACCGATTCGGTGCAGTCTATCTCGTGGCATCCATTCGAGGAATCGGTCCTGGCTAGTTCCAGTTATGACCGCAAGATTATGTTCTGGGACCTCAGCCGGGCAGGCGAGGAACAAACTCCCGAGGATGCTCAAGATGGGCCGCCAGAGCTGTAAGTGACCATTCTTTTCTTTCTCTTCAAACCATACGTTTGAATTGTTCACTAATCTTCTCCTTAGTTTGTTTATGCATGGTGGACACACAAACCGTATCTCGGACTTCAGCTGGAATCTAAGCGACCCTTGGGTTCTATGTTCCGCCGCTGAGGACAACCTACTGCAGGTATGGAAGGTAGCAGATGCAATTGTGGGCAAAGACCTGGAGGATGTCCCAACAGAAGAAATTGAGGCGTGATGTTATTTCCGCTGACATTGCAGTCCAGTCATTTTCATATGGGTGTTTTTTTAGTATAGGTGATTTAAGACCATAGTGAATAATCATTCAAAACACCACTACATTTGAAATCTACTATGATGACGGACATTGTTGCTAGCCGCATGGTCAGCTGCTCGACTAACCCTAATATAAGGGTATGCTATCACTATCCATGGTCACAAGCCTACATACATGTATGTAGCTAAGCCATGACGGATATGACTTATTTACACGGCATCTATGATTCTTGATTAACATAATGCTTCTAATTGAATGAGAGCAGACCGTGAATGTACTAGGCCCTTTTTTGGTATGGTATATCCCTCGACCATCGCCTACTTGGATAGAAGAAATGTGTCAATGAGTTTAGAATTAGGAATATAGACCAATATAGGCCACTAGGTACTTATATTAGCTATATCAGCACTTATTTGCCATATTCACCCCCGGGGATGAGAAATATATTTCCCACAGCGCCCCTTTTGGTAGAGGTACATTCACCCACGTTTCACTACATAAAGTTAACGCAGTATGACAGATCTAGAATGGAATAAAAAATATACATCCTAACATTGACCAGGATTCATATGTTGTACATATAATATAGTTAGATCTATGCATGTGGCATGTATTTGGCCCCAGTTATCCGGGGAGCATGTCATCATTCCGGTGAATTTTGATTGGCGGTAATTGGTGGGGGGGGGGCGATGAGGGGGACAAAAAGAAAGTTAGCGTTTGCTTAAAAAAAAAAAGATGACTCTTTAGAGATCCTTGTCTATATATATTCTTGGTATATTCTATTTACTTTTTACCAAATATCGACATCATGGGTTCTGGTTCTCCTACAAGCCCCAAGCCATCAGCTATTCCGTCCCACATGTTGAACGGTAGCTCCCCGCTGCAACGTCCGACGGGTAGCCGGGATTCCCGTGAGCGTGAGAGTCTCAATTCATCCATTCGTTCTTCTTTTGAACCCAGAATCCCTATTGAATTTGAATCTCCTGAGACCAAGTCCGAGACCAAGACTGAGACCGAGGCCGAAACTGATGGAGCCGCCCCCACCCACGCCGTTTCAAGTGCTTCTGTGCCAATTCGCAGTGTGGCGCCAGTGCGGTATGTATACGGCAACCTTATATCAATATTGCTGACTATGGCGCTTTGAATTTCATTGCTAATCTCTGGGTAGCCCTAGCTTGAATGACCCTCCCCGCGATCCCCGGGATGCGGCCGCCCCATTGACGCCTTCAACCACCGTTAGCCGACCTGCTAGCCCCTACACATTGAACCCGCCCATCGACTTTGACGGTCTCAGCTGGCCTTGTTAGTGATATTAGCTCCCTTTGTGGACACCACTCTATCGGTATATTCCTCTAACCTGTCACATAGGCCCCGGAACTAGACAGCGGAAGGAGTCGACGCCGGAGGAGACCGAACAACGTCTTGAGAAGATGTCGGGAGCTATCCGAACAATCCTGGAATGTATTGGCGAGGATCCGGAACGAGAGGGACTCCGCGAGACCCCCATGCGATATGCCAAGGCCATGCTCTATTTCACCAAGGGATACGAGGAGAATGTCCGGGACTTGGTTAACAATGCTGTCTTCCATGAAGACCACGATGAGTTGGTTATTGTCAAGGATATCGACGTCTTCTCGATGTGCGAGCACCACATGGTACCATTCACCGGAAAGGTACGAATTACTACATTCAATACCGTAATTATATCATTCTAACCATCCGCAGATGCATATCGGATACATTCCTGACCGCCGCGTTCTTGGTTTGTCAAAACTGGCTCGCCTCGCAGAGATGTTCTCTCGCAGACTTCAGGTTCAGGAGCGCCTTACCAAGCAGGTTGCGTTAGCAATTTCAGAGGTCCTCCAGCCCCGCGGTGTCGGTGTTGTCATGGAATCCTCCCACCTTTGCATGGTTATGCGCGGTGTGCAGAAGGTTAGCAGCACCACTACTACCAGCTGTATGCTAGGATGTATGCGGTCCAGCGCCAAGACTCGTGAAGAGTTCTTGACTCTGCTGAACCGGAGATAATGCCCCATCTCGCCAGCCTAACCTAAATACGGGTTATTGATTTATGGAGTTTCGGAGTTTTGGATGACCTTTCAACAGGTTTTGGGTCTTTCTTTTACTTACATGTTAAGCGTGGATTGGTGTTTCTCTGGTCTTCTCTTGTCTCGGTTCTCCTTCGCATACTTGGGAGAATCCTCACACTGGTGTTTTGTCATGTTCCTTCGTCCATGAAGCTCAAGCCTTCTTTTAGAGTCGATGGCTCCGTGGGAAATGGTGGACACCCGCTTCTTTTACGCGTGATGGGCCCAGGGAAGATAAAAATCTCCCTCATCCCCTACCCCCTACCTTACTAACACAGCCCCTCAAGAGGCCTTTGCTGTAAAGTCTATTGAGATATCACTCGATAGTACTAGCGAGGCTGTTTCAACACTTGATCCCATGCCGCTTATGAGCATCTAGTAATGCCCACTTAGATATGATGTATGTATTAGAACCAATCAATGTACAATCTCTTCCCAATATCTTGTTTTTTTGTCTAGAAAAGGAAATTAAAGGGCATGTCGACCTTTGACATAGACGAGCACGGAGTTGTTGGCCTGTAGCCGGTTTCTGTAGAGGCTTTTTCTCTCTGGGGCTTTAATGAGGCCACCAAAGACGGTATAGACACTAGAGTTTTCTCTAATCCTACAGTAGTTCGGCGGCTTGAAGATATCACCATAAGCATTAGAACTGATAGAATTGGAAGGTACCTCATCAGCGAGGACCTCGTCAGCGGGGGTGAATCGTAAGGGGTGGTCCGGATCAATCTTGGGCACGACGATGTCATTGTTGCCTACGGTGATGGGACTCTACACGTCTGACACGCTCTTTTGTGGCTCTCCCTTCAGTAAACTCTTCTTCCTGTCTCATCTCGCTTTTCATCCACCATCCTTGTTTCTATCCATCTTCTGAGCTTCCCATCACCCAGAATAATCATCTCATCATTTCTATCTTTTTCTATTATCTATTCATTGCCTCTGCAGCATCTGCTTGCACTATTTGTTTTTCCCCTGCTACATTTGACGTGTGTGTGCATCCAGTCACGTCCACGCCAACCTTGCCTGTCAGTACCCCAAGGTTAGCCGAGCACACGACACATCGCCGGTCACTGAAGAGTGGCATCAGTCTTATCTGTCTCTGTAAGTATTGTGCGAGCTGAATCCCCACCTCCTTCTGCGCATGTACTACATACGACACCAGTATTCCAGAGCCTTGGATGGTCCAACATCCAATATTGGGCACGGAAGCTGGGCTTGGTTTCATCCCCTTTCCCTCCTATCTAGATCGTGGGCTTTCTCTGATCTGGCATTTCTTTGTCTATCATTCACTTTCATCTGATCTACGCATGCTCTTTTGGTTTCTATATGCTAATCTGTTCGCAAACAGAAAGAGTCTTACATTCAAACCTCTCGAATACGTTACAATCAAAGGGTTTTTCCTGACAACATTGAGCATTGCAGGTGTGTTGAATCTATTTGATTAAATCAAGTACGAGACTTACTGACATGAACTTGAAGGTTGAAGGCCACTTTGACAACCAAGAATCCATTTCAGCATCATGGATAACCGCCCTCGACATCCAGCCTCTCCTGGCTCCTCCGGTCTCCCTCAGGAGGATACCACTGAGCTCATAAACGAGCCTACCGAGAACAATGAGTCTACCAGTACCAACCATCCTGTCGCTGGGCCTTCACAATCTTCCACTTCTTATCCCACCCTTGACATTCTTCAGGCCCATCTAGCAGCTGAGGCCGACTCTGACTCGGATGAAGATGCTGGACCACGGGTGCACCCTGATTTCTTCGTCCATCTAGAGAGATTACGAAGTGTCAATGAAGCCAATCGAGTAAATGCGCGCAGAGTTGCTGAAGCGCGGTTTCAAGCTCACCAAGCTCAACTGGCGCTCAATCAATCCCAGCATGAAAGCCCGCAATTTGCCAACGCCCCCAACCAACCCTGGTACGATTTCGATGAAGAAGATCTATTGCAGACATCTCCAATGGGCTCGAGCGAGCAACATGGAACTCAAGCACCCGCTGCAGCCGGATCATTCGTGCCAAGTTGGCAAGCTGCTTATGAGACATCTGACCCCGTGCCTGCTTATCCTAGAGACCGTTCTTCTGAACACAGGGCTCCTTCTCCATCCCCTGTGGCGGCTCCACGCCGAGCTCCGCGCCGAGCAGCTGCTGGTCCAAGCCCCTTGGGAAATCCTCCTATGACAGCAGAACCCGAACGCAGATATACGGATCACGGAAACCCGTACACATTCGCACGCGACCCACCCCTTATTTCTGACGATGTTGTTCCTCTTTCTCCAGAGCGCATGCTTCAAGCATGGCTCATCCGAGCACAGCTTATTGCCGGCGTTCGCCCTGAAGATCTTCAGCCGATGTCACGCCCAAGCGGAATGCGGCACCGAACGCCTCCTTGGATCGTGTTCAATGACAGCGGCGCTCATATCATAAGAATTGAGCCTGCCAGATTCAATGGTGTCATGCTTCCTATGCCCGACCTTCCTTGGTTTCCGCGACGCGCAGATCCTAACTCATCCACTGCGCCTGTTTCGTCGAATGCTCCTGCTGCTTTGGGTCTGTCCACTGCGTCAAACAACTCGATTGATCCGAGCTCGACTAGTACTCCAAACCAGCCGACTGGTCCAACCTCGACGGATAATTCAACCCTACCAGATGCTCCAGATATGGAACCTGCTCCAAGCTCGGTTAGTATCCCAAACCCGCAGGTTTTACAAGACGTGCCGGCTACTCCAAATCCACCGGTTGCCTCAAACCTGTTACCTGTCCAGCCGATTGACCCAACGCAGCTGATTGTTCTAACCTCATCGGATGATGAAACCACATCGGACGATGAAACACTACCGGATGCTTCAGATATGGCAGCTGCTCCAAGCTCGGTTAGTATTTCAAACGCGCCGGTTTTCAGAGACGTGTTGGTTACTCCGCGTCCACCAGTTGCCCTAGGCCGGCTGACTATCCCAACCTCACTGGATGATGAAACCCTACCGGATACTCCAGATATCATAACTTCTGTAAGCTCGCTTACTCTAAACTCACCGCAAGACCTTACTGTTCCTCAAAACTCACCCGTTGACTCAAACCAGTCCGATGACATAGACCCACGGGTTGATCGCTTTGTGCAAGGTGCTGCAGCCTCCCTAGCTACTCTTGATGCCCAATTCCAGCCGGCTGCTCGACGCCACTTTGATGATTTGGACCCTATCGCCCCGCTGGATTCTTTGACCATGCCTGCTCCAGGTGGCATTGATGTTTCGAACCCAACTTCTGTGCCAGAACAAAGTTTGGGAGGTCCGAGTCAGCATGTTGCGAATATTCAGGACCCAGATCCGCGTGTTGTGGCCTTTTTGCAACCTCTTAGGCTGCATGAACCTGCTAATTCATCCTCAAGTTCTATGCTGGATACACGCCCAGAAGGACCAAGCACAACCGAGCCCGCCAGCAACGAGAGCAGCCAAATTCCCGCCGTTGCCCTCCAGTCCCAGTCGCAGACCAGAGTGCCCCTGACTGTGCAAAACCGTACCGATGCTGATTCCATCAGTTCTCGGGAGGCTCCTAGAGTTGGGGCGTCCCCCGCCCCTTCGCAGGACCAAGTCTCGTCTTCGTCAAACGAACATACTGAGACCGGTCACGTTTCTGCTCCCGAGGCCGCCCATGGCACTGCCAATGGTAATGGGGTTGTGCACCACGACATCCTCTGGTCCCAGCCCGATGGACCCGATGAAGAGGATGAAGAGGATGACCTCTATGGCCCTTCTTGGCCCCGTCTCCGTCGTTTCCCTCTCGACGGAGCGGATGACTCGCTCGGGGCGGGTCGGTTGTCTGGGGAGTCTAAGGCCCCCAGTGATCAATCCTCCTTCGGGGGGTTGATCTGAGAATGCTTCAACGTTTGTATGAGTAGTTTCTGAGAGAAAGATTGCTTACCATGTAAGCAATAAGTGATATGGGGATGACCTAGGAGGAGGTGCGGGAGTGAGGGGGTTGTCAATCTTGAAAAAAGATGGAGTGTGTTGTAGAATATGTACTGAATAAACTTGTATTAGTACTAATTGTTTTCTGTCCTTAATCTAATATGTAGCATGTAGAAACACATTGCTATTGTGGCTATGTGCTGACAGGTGATGGGTTTGGCACTGATGCTTTAGACATAGGGGGTCCTAGATTCTGACTTCTCGCCTAGGAGATGTTCATCGCCTGGGTAATGCACTACCATATGTCAGGGCTGCCTGCACTAATGAGTCTGATAGCAATGGAGCGCTAGGTGGAGTGCTTCGCTTCATGCAATCGGACCAGGCGACAAAGGGAATGGGTGGCGTGGCAGCGCGTGTTAAAGACACAGCATACATGTTGCCATACTCCCTGTTGCAGATGACTGTCACTCATATCCAGCATCTGAAGACATTAACAACATAATATTCTGCAAGCGAAATCGCCTCTTCTAGAGGTGTTGCGACGTATGTTCCAGGGCTAATTTCTGTACTTTGTAGACAATATGACGTCACGTGATCCCATGTGACCCCACGCTCAGTTCCGACACAACTTCGACCTGCCCATGACATCAACCTTCCTCTTTACTTTCTTAGTTCCTTGATTCGGTATGGCGTGCTTCCCTCTGGTTATACAGCGACAATATCTTTTATTGAATCTAGCACTCTGATCCTTTTGGGAATGTTCCTTTTTCGGGGGTGAGAATGGCCGGGGCCTTTGTGTTCCAGCCCATTCATATCCCGCTCGATCTCGGGCTGACTTACAGGCCACGGCCTTGAGTCCTTTGCAACCACATCCACATTATGAGATCTTGCTTTCTGTTAGATTACAAATTGTCAATTTCAGATCCTGGAATTTGTCTTGATATTTAAAATTGGGGGACGGGTTGACTGAGCGCAGGGCTTAGTCTCTAGCATTTCACCGCCCGCAGCTTTGGGGGCTTGCGCATTCTACTGGATTGAATTGGGGTGGAATCGTTGCTTTTGGGCCCTGCTTGCCTTGGCCGCCTCGTACATTGACCCCTCATTTCGGTATGCTCCCCACCATTATCGCCAGGCTTCTGTCTAGTCGACCGACCTGGACACCTGGATATCACCATGAATTCGCATTCTTGTTCGGCAGACTGTTAAAGACACAGCACTCGCAATGGTCGGCTTAAACAAAACTTCGCAATTACCGGGATTTCCGCCCATGTTTCCATCTCTGTCTCGGTGGTACTATCAGTTGTAAATCACGACAAAGCTTCATTCCAGCACACAGACTTTGGTGCATGACAACTTGAACTTCGACAATTGAACAGTCTACAACTCACAAGGAATCGAAAAACTAACCAGATGGATGTGATACAGAGCATCAATTTAATCCCAACAAGGATAGCAGCAGGTTGAATCGACCCTCCAAATCGACCAACAGCTCTATGATCCCGGGAGGAGAATGATAAGAGACCCCGGCCATTGATTTTATGGTGTGGCCTGATAACCCAACGCGGGATTGTCCTGTTCGCAATGGTGCCCCGGGGATGTTGGCCCATCTGGCCTTGTGCATTACGTAGATAGTTTCGTTCGTGGGACAAGCCAACCCAGTCCCATTGTTGCTTTGAAAAAAAAGGCAGCAGCTGTACAAAAGGGCAGGGCGAGGACAAAGGAGACAATATGCTAGCAAGCCTGGCTAGCACTGTTTCTCCAACACCTGCAGGTGGACCCCTGATCAGATCATCATGTGCCGAAAAGACACAGGTTCGAAATATTCGGTACCCAAAAAGAAACACAGAGGAGAAAAGCAGAAGTACAGGTTGCACTTGTCTTCGATAGCTGCCAACCTGCCAGCATCCCAGCGTCGAATCAAGTTGTAGAGCCGCAACGTGGATCAGTCAGCAAACCCGAGGTTTCCTACCTTGGAAAGCGCCCCCACGGACAAGTAGTGTTCTTTCTTTTACCTGGGAAGGTGATACGGTGTATTTGATAAATCTGAATTGGTGCGTATGGCCCGTTCACACTTCCCCTTGCTTATGTTTTTCGTTGTTCACCACCTGGGCAGCACTTGATAGCCACAGTTCGGAGCCTGGAAAAACTATCATTCCGGGTCCCCAAACCCGAAAGACTCCCGCCTGCGATCGAAGACACGGTTGGACGCCATCGCCCACTACGCCTTGTCATCATTATCTCTAATTCAAGGCTTCCTCCACGGACTCGCCTCGCTGACATTCTTTATTTCCCTGATTGAACCAGATGCCGTTGGCGCAGTTCACATGGCGGAGTCCCGTACGAGTCCGGTGTTGAGAGACCAGTGGAGTGCTGACCCAGACCGTGAACCCCGTGACAGGGAGAGACGGAGAGGGCGAGGGTCAGGCCGCGATCGAGGAAGAAACAGAGGTCGTGATCGAGGGCGCCCATATCGGCCCAATAACCGCAATTTCGATCGCCCGGGGCGGTCGCCACCACGCGTGTCCCGCTTTGGCCCTGACTCTTCTCACGACCTAGGTGATTTCGCTCCGGATCGATCTCCTCGTCGAGGTTCTCCTCCACCTCCAAACTTTCACAACAGCCGTCGACTAGATTCAACGCAACCTGTGTCATCAGCCGGCAGCTGGAACGCTCACCCTCCCGGACCTTTCGATAGAGAAGCCCCCGGCCCTCGAAGAGACGAGTCATCAACCGGACCTCCACTGAAACGGCAAAGGACTCGAAGCCTCTCACCGCATAGCCGCCGTGGCCCTTTCCCCCCGCCACGTTCAAATTACCCCAATCACGGTGAAGGACGGGATCGAAGTCCCACATTCAAGAAACGAGGTGGTCGGACCCAAGGTCGTGGTGCGCCCAGGCGAAGATCACCACGCCGGGGACGGGACCGTCGTGGGAAAGACCGTCGCCGTCCGGACATCCCACGTCCTGGAAGATCTAGATCACCGGTTCATGAACGAGGGTTTCATCCTTCACCTGATCGACGGTCTCTTACCCCCAGTCGCGATAACTATAGTGAGCACGGATCTCACTATCGGTCGAACTCGCGGCATTCCGTTACTTCGAGACATTCTGCATCGTCTCGCAAATCAAGGCGTGATTCGCTGATGAACACAACCCGACCAATCCAGCCTATTGTGGACGGTAATGCTCGGTCTCCATCTCCGCCTCGCCCGATTCCGAGTTTTAAATCTGATAATTTCGGCCCTACTGGAGAACACTCTACTCATGTGCGAGATGAGTTCCCAATGCATCCGATGCGCTCTGATGTGAATAATCAGCCCCGCCGTCGGCCATCTGGACCACGTCATGATAGACGGCGCTATTCGAACTCTCAAAACGCAACATCGGCAGGCTCATACCACGGCTCGCCGCAACCGCCATCGCCTTACTCCGGGGGACGAGCAGGATGGTCTGGCCCGCCTCCCTATACTGGAACTGGGTAAGTTTCCTTTCACTTACATATTACATCGCATTATACTAACACTCTCTTTAAGCCATACCTCTCCTTATCGACATGATGACTATTCATCGCAAAATGGAAACTACTATCACAACCAAGGTCAATCTAATGGCCCTGGCAACCATCACCCTCAATCTCCGTATGGCGGGCCTCCCCATCGAGGTGGCCACTCCGGCGGTGGTCATCGAGGAAACTTTTCGAACCAGGGTCCCGATCGGCGATTTTCTGGCTCTGGTCCTCATTCATACCACAATGGACCCCCACAACGCAGCGCAAGAGGGCACTTCAACAACTTGCAATGGACTGCATCGGGATCACGAGGCCGTGGGGGAAGCCCCCACGCAGCACACAGTCATGGGTCACAAACCCCCAATCGACCACAGTCTCACAATGACCCGCAATCCCCTCGTGCTGGCGAAAGTGAGAATTATTCCCGGCTCTCTAATAGGGATGAAGAGGAGAACCATACAGAACCTCAATCCGTTAGCGGAAATCCTCAGTCGATGCCACCCCCTCCCCATGAATCCAATGAGACGCCGCCGGCAAACAAGGGCGGGAAATTCAGCTTTGCTTTCAAGTCAAAGCCTGCAGCTGCTCCTGCTCCAAAGCCAGTACCTGATCTTGCCCAGAGGATGCAGCAGGTCCGCGAGCCAGCCCCCCGTGCACCTGAACCACCCCAGCAACCTCGCAACAGGTTTACCAATGGGCCATTGCCCAAGTTCAAACCAGACTCAAGACCCGATCGCCGTGACCGGGGTGGACGGAATCGGGACCGAGACCGCAGAGATTTCCGGGAATTCCGAGATCCACGGGATCGAAGGGATGATCGACGGTTCGATCAATGCCGTGATCGACGACAAGGAGAATGGCCCTCAGACCGGCCCTCGGACTGGCAAGATCGTCGCCGAGACCCTTCTCCAGAACCACTGAGAGAGGCACCACCACCACCCAAGCAGAAGCGGATTCTTATTCGGCCCAAGCCACGCCCCACACTTCCCGAGGAGTTTGCTAATGCCGAATCTGTGTATTACCGAAAGCCGGGCAATGAGTCTGTTATCGGCGCTGGAACATACGGAAAAGTGTTCAAGGGGATCCATGTCTATACCCAGCGTAAAGTTGCACTCAAGAAGATCCGAATGGAGGGTGAGAAGGATGGCTTCCCTGTGACGGCTGTTCGAGAGATCAAGCTGCTTCAGCATCTCCGAAACCATAATGTCGTCAGCCTCCTGGAGGTCATGGTTGAAAAGAACGAATGTTTCATGGTCTTTGAATATCTCTCTCACGATCTGACCGGTCTGATCAATCATCCTACCTTCTCTCTCACTCTCTCTCACAAGAAGGATCTGGCGAAGCAGATGTTCGAAGGTCTCAATTACCTTCACCATAGAGGAGTCCTACATCGCGACATCAAAGCCGCCAATATATTGATCAGCAATCGCGGATTGCTAAAGTTTGCCGACTTTGGCTTGGCCAGGTTCTTCTCCAAAAGTCGTCAACTCGACTACACCAATCGAGTCATCACCATCTGGTACCGACCCCCAGAACTCCTCTTGGGCGAAACCCGATATGGCCCTGCTGTCGACATGTGGAGCGCTGCATGTGTTTGCATGGAGATGTTTACCAAGAAGGCTGTTTTCCCCGGTGAAGGTGGCGAATTGAGCCAGATGGACAAAATCTACAATGCTTTGGGTACCCCCACTAAAACTGAGTGGCCGGACCTTGTTGAGATGCCCTGGTTCCACCTGATGCGGCCAACGGAACGAAGGAAGCGCGTTTTCGAGGATGTATACCGCGATGTGCTGACAACGGGTGCGATGGATCTTATCTCCTCGATCTTCCGCTATGATCCTTCACAACGCCCGAGCGCCGAAGATGTTCTTAAACATCCATACTTCGTATCGGAGGAACCAGCCCCTCACCCGCCGATTGAGTACGTTTCCTACGCTCCCTTGTGTATATCATTCCTGCTAACTTTGTCTACAGATTGGAGCATGTTGAAGGCGACTGGCATGAATTTGAATCTAAGGCACTTCGTAAGGAAGCTCGACGCGTTGAGTATCAGAACCAAAAGGACCGCGACAAGCGCAAGGCCGATGCGTCAGTACCCAGCACCGATCGGGATTCGAAGCGAACCAAGCAAGATTCAAGTGATCGTGTCTCTGGCCCGTGATGACTTGCAAATTATTTTATTATTTTCTTATTGCTGTTTTATTGCATCGGACATGGTTGGTGGAATGGTTTGCATTTACTTTTCACGAGATTCACCCTTGGTATTCGGGGTTCTTCCGGGCTTGTTCTTTTTTTTTTTTTTTGTCACATATTGCCCACTGATCAAAGAAAATTTAGATCAAAGTTGTTATTTGCATGGAGGTTCAATAATAGATTGTATACTTTGTACATCGAGGTGTTCTTTTGGCTAAGAGGTGGGAAGATTACCTCCTGTACGCAACATATTTCCTCTGCCTCCGGACCTAAGCAAAAAGATGGTGAGTATAGAAAGTTAAGCACAAATGGGTCTTGGACTAATCTCATATTGGGATATAGGCTTTAGATGATTCCTCACATAGTGAAAGTCTCTCTCTGCCATGGAGATAGGCATGGCTTCAATCCGGACAAAGAGCCTTAAAGCTGCACGCCAAACCAAGAAGCCTCGTTCAAAGGTGAATCTCCGTGAGAAAGATTTAGATGAAGGCTGGTGGCCAAAAGGCCATGCTGGTTGTATAACCTGGCTTTACAAACATCTCTAGCCAAGAAATAGACAAAGATATACGAAAGAACACGCAGAAGGCATGGATCGTGGTCTGGTGTCTGCAGAAGATGACATCTGACATTAATGTTTACAATGACAATACCCCGGAGAACGAAAAGTGGACGAAATCAGAGGGAGAATTGGAGGTGTTCAATCGCTGCTGGGAGGGAGGTGCTACGATATCGTAGGTCTGGCCTTGACAAGTACGCCTGAAAAACCACGCTTTGGTAGTTCCACGGCAGTCAACAATGGAATGACAGTCAATTGGCCCAAGTTTCCTACCCTACGCCCCTCGACCCTTGACCAGAGCCTACATTGGTAGCCTCCGCCGGAATCCTAGTAACGTTCCACCTCTCCTCTGACAGCCGTCCCATATGTAGTTGTCATGTGTGTGTGCTGAAGTGGATATGATTAAAACCATAGTCGATGGTGCTCTAATGACAATACCATATTATGCTCTATTCGACGTTCGTGTCCGACCCTCTGACATGCAAGATGTTGTGCTTGATGCACAAGACTTCCGCTTTATCACGACAGTCAATTTCTCTTGATTGCTGTGTAGGAAGAATGGTTGTCTTCCAGAGAATATCAATAGGATAACTTTCTTTTTTTAAAAAAAATTAACAAGAATAGTTGCATGAGTGGCCTTGTGATGTCTTTTTAGTGGGGTTTGCTACTCTGTAGTGGTCTCTAATAATCTTTTGGCGGTTTTTATAGGTCGACGGCAGAAAAAGGCGGAAACAGCCTTCATTTGACTTTGATAGAGGATCCAGACAGGGGCATGCTCAGTTTTATCAGTGAGAAAAACAAAACGCTAAGGGCTCTAAAACCGAAAGGGAACAAGTGCCAGAGGAAATCAATTAGACAAGCTACACGCAAGGTAAACTATAACCTACTGCATGTCAGTCCATCTGTCCACAAGTCCACAAGAGAAACAACTATAGCATCTATCAAGGCTCAGACTTTGCCTGTTGACCGCATGCTCAACCAGCCCAGCCCAAAAGGCCAAAGTAGTAGGGCGGTTGAGACCTTGGTTTACCAGAGAGCTCAAAAGAGTTTCTTCATTGCGTTGAAAGATGGAAGATGGAAGATGGTGATTGGAAATGGGTTGCTATTGACAAGACGTACCCTATACTATATAATATATAAACAAAGAGAACAAAGAAAGTATGTGTCGTCAATCAGGTCATCAACGTGTCATGGGTAGCTCGTAAGCCCTCGTGATGATGGTTTTAGATGCGATTCAATTAATCTCGACACACACATCGGAAACGCCAGTGATGTAAAAAGAACAAGTCGCCAGCGTTGATTTGAGTTTGGTGGTCTTGATATAAAAAAGAAAAGAAACAAGAAAGAAAAAAAAAAAAAACGAAAGAAAAAGGGAAAACTGGAAAAAAGACGGTGCGGGCTGCAGGCGAAAATGGGGCTGAAGTGACTGTGATTGGTCAGGGAAGCTGCTCCTCCAAACTGCCCGAGTCTCCGATTCATATCGACACTTTTCCCCTTCACCTGATTTCCCCTCTATACATTTGTTCTACTCTATTCCTTTTCTTTTTTTTCCTTCTTTAAACAGCCTCATTATCCACAGATATCCTCTATTCGCCCTACCTATTTTCTTTTCTTACGCACTTGGATCTCGATTTTTTCTTATTCTTCAGGATTTCCCGCCTCTGCCACTACACTACGTCACTGAGATCATAGCGCCGGCGTCTCATATCTCTGTGTAACGCTTCTTACGGGTCCCTTTATTTCCCCCTGATGACCGCTCGTGTCTCGGGCAGTCTTCTCACCCGCCGCGATGGATAATGCAAACCTGTGGACCCGCCGAACAAAGTTAGTCGTGTGCCCCTCTTGAACCCAGGTGACCATTGTAACTTATATGGTGGTTTGTTTCTTTTATTAGCTCCTCCAAGTTGTCCCTGTCAACGTCTGGAGCGGACGCGAAAGACAGTGCCCGTGTCGAACTTCCCCGCCCATCCAAGCGGTTCGGACCTGACAGCTCGCATGGACGCTCGAATCCATTTAACGCAATATCCCCATTATCCGGCGGTGTTTCTTCGCCATCTACCAATGCCTCCTCCGCTTTTGGCCTAGGATCCGGCGCATTCGCCTCATTTGGTGCGCCGAAGACTCCCGGTGGCACCGAGTTGAAAACACCCGGACGGGAGACTCCCTTGGAACATGACGAGGCTACACGAAAGGCTTTTGAGAATAACTCCCTCGTGGCTCCTGGCGAGCACCCGTTGAAGTCTACGTGGATTGTCTGGTATCGTCCCCCGACACCCAAATACTCCGACTACGAAAAATCTACCGTGCCACTCGCTTCGATATCTTCGGTAGAGAGCTTCTGGGCGGTGTACTCTCATCTTAAACGCCCCTCCCTTCTTCCCACCGTTTCCGACTACCACATCTTCAAGAAGGGGATTCGCCCTGTCTGGGAAGATGAGGCGAACAAGCGAGGAGGTAAGTGGATCGTACGTTTCAAGAAGGGGGTTTCCGATCGATACTGGGAGGATCTCCTCTTGGCTATGGTTGGAGACCAGTTTGCGGAAGCTGGAGATGAAGTCTGCGGTGCTGTACTGAGCGTCCGAGGCGGCGAAGACGTTTTGAGTGTTTGGACGAGGATTGACGGGGGGCGCAACATCAAGATCAGGTATGTACAACCTATTTAACTCCATGATGTGACTAATCTAACTTGCCTTCAGAGAAACGATCAAGCGCTTGCTCGCTTTCCCGGCAGACACCAACATCATCTGGAAGAGCCACGACGACAGTATTGCACAGCGTTCTGCCATCGACCAGGCTCGCCATGACAAGACTGCCACAGGCACAGGTCATCAAGAACGGCGGCGTACAGGTCAAGACGACTCGGACAAGGCTAAATCGGCTGTGGCCCTATGAACGGATCCAAGATCCCAGCCTGGCCTTGGGCCCTGTATAGTAAACCCGAAAAAAAAAACTTCAATCACGAATCATTGGGACGCGTTTGGGTCTTAGGGGCGGTGGGGCATCGAGGCGAACTCAGCGGTTTGATTTGATTTATGTCTTTTAAGTGAACTCATCTGTGCTATGGTGCTATGTGTGCTTTTTTTTTTGTGTCTGCCGAGCTCATGCGTGATGTTTTTCCTTTATGTACGCAAGATGAATGCAGCACCAGCTGCTAATGGTTTTCTCGCCTGGGAGTATTATTGTCTATGCGTGGTGAATTGGTGTTATGTGAACTAGAACCCTTTCACATTTAGGTCTATCCAACGCACTCTGCTATATATTCCAACTACATGAACTTATGCATACAAAAGAGAGCCAAACCTATTGACTGCTTGACTAGTGAATGGTCCCAGGATGTGGGTATAGTAACCTGTTAGGAACCCTAACTTGTATATTGATGCGTTGGGGTGGGGCATTGGGCTATTGTCGTGAACAACTAATGGCATTAATAATGCTAAAGGTTATGAACAAAGTGAATCATGCGGACAATGCCATTATATTACATCTATTCAGCTATTCAGCTATTCCAATATTCCGAGATCACAATGAATGTATGCCTAAATTATCAGGCTTCAATAACTCTTGACCGCCCTAGGGCCCAGATGACGATGCGGCGTACTTACGTCCCATGAATGAGAATGAAAAAAAAAAGAACAATAGACGAACAATCAATTGGAATGAGATTTGTGAAATGCATATTGTCATAACCATCTGGCTGCCAAATGCCTGTGTTCAAAAACCTAGTCGATCTCTTCTCTAACTTGTCACCGCGACGCCGACGCCAGACCGAAGATCAACGATCTACTGTTCAACGTGCAGAAAGACCGCCCTCGACCCCTCCTCGTTCTCGAGCAGCTGGATCTGGCCCTGACTCTTTTTTCCTGGGATCTGATACCAACTTGACTGACATATTATCTCCCCGAAACGCTGGGAGTGATCCTCTTTCAACGGTGTGTATCTCTTATCTCCATGCGCGTCCCACCGATATTTGCCCTTGGCCGTCCATATTGTCTTTTGATAGCTCGACTCTACAATCTCCCCACTCTGCGCACATAGCTCTTAGCCCCGTCTGTTTTCTTGTCGCAAGCTATCCTCGGACATTTGACTTGGGACTAATCGATCTTAGGCTCTTCACAGTTATGTCGATACTTTTTCGTCCCCAACTGGATCTACAACTGCAGACGAACGGTTGCGCTCACGTTTCTCCCACCCTTTTCTAAATCCCATTACCCGGTTAGCCATGTCCCACCGGAACCCACCACCTTTCCCTGCCGGCAGGCAAACGCTGATACCTCCACCCATTCCCAGGCCGGGTAACTCGTCGCAGATGTCGAACGAGGACCAACAAAAGGATTCCCAGAACCGGAAAGATGAGGCGCGTTTACTCGGAGGCAAATATCGGTATGTTCTATGAGATCTATGAGTGCGCGCTGAGTTGATCTAGACATTGTTGCTAACCAGTCGGCTTTCTACTTGATAGTGACCCCAAAGCTGTCAAGATAAAGCCCGGAGCATCCCTTCATCCTAAGAACAAGAAGCCAGGGGTAAGCCTTTACACCCTTGACTATGGCATCCAATCTAATCCTCGGTCACAGTCTAGCTTCGCTTTTTCCCCCGAAGACAAAATCTCACAAACTCAGAATGCCCGAAGCAGCGGGCCGGTCCGCTCTTACGGAAAACCAAATCAACAAACTTCGCGGAGAAAATCTACACAACTTGACGATGAGTTCGAAGAGTCGAGTCGGCCCACAAAGATACGGCGCCAGAGCGACACTAGCGAAACCATTGACCTTACGGCCCCCGCAAATCTAAACCGCCCTCGTGGTTCCAAGGACACGGAGAATCGTGTCAAATCAGCGCAAAGCTCTATTCGTCCTCAACGTGACCAATTCTCATCCGCTGATTCTCGGAATGAAAGATTTACTGAAACAGCAGCTCAGCAACGGCGAAATCTGGCGAGATCTACGAATCCCCAACTGTCTCAGATCAATGGCAGATCAAATCAGCGTTCTGAGGCTGTTGTTATTGGGGAAATTGGGGCTGGACCAAAGAAAGCGGGTCGCACTCGAACTGCAGCTCCTTTGACAAACTTCCGTCGTCCTGTCAATGGCAGGGAAAGTCCAGACGAGCTTCAAGGAGAAACCACCACACATCCAGCGCCCAGATCATTTACAGAAACACACCCCAAAGCCACTCGTCCTTTCAAACCAGTACGTACAGAGACACCAACCCGAAAACGCTCCCCATCCGACATCCCAATCCAAGACTTTTCGCCACCAGGACAGGCTACAAAGAAGGCGAAGATGTCCCAAAAGCACTCTGATAAGAAACATCTATTGCGATATTTCCGAATCGGCACCCTCAGCGAAACCTGCGATATGAAGGAATTCGTCCCAATTTATTCCAACAAGGAAGGCTTGGAACTCCGCGAGGATGCACTCGGCCAGCGTAATACAATCTCAATACCTTTTCACAGCATCCTCAATGTGGTGGTCGGGGAGAAGCCCAGCCGGAAAGTGAGAATGAAAATACTTCAAGGTCCCCTTCAACCAGATAGCCAGCTCGACATCGAGTTTTGGACCACTGAGGAAAAGGAGAAGTTACTGGAAGTGTTGACGCAGGCCCGTTTCCAGTTCCAGAATAAAGATATGTAAGTTTTATGAGCTATCTTGAGGCGAGTCGGCAGTTTACTAACCCTGGAATAGGAAATGGATGGACAAGGCCTTTTTGCGATACGAAAAGCAGTTCTCAGAGGGGGATACGCAGGTGACCAAGAAGCCCAAGAAGCGGCTTCTTGATGAGTTGATGGAAGATCCAGACCTTGCGCACTCTCCTCCCGCACGACGGGCCAAGCTTTCGAAATCGTTGAGGGATGACCAAGGTGAAATCGACAATGTTAATTCGCTTGAGATCAAATGCGCCTTGGAAAAGGCAAGACACGGGAACGGCAATGTCGATTCTCAAATGTCTGGCAAAGAGCAACGGAATCTCCGACCCGCTGAAACAGACGGTGAAGTCCATGTTCGATCTACCGTCCACCCACTGGAACGCGAAACCCGGTCTTCTACCCGCCGTGGCGGTATCAAGCCTGATGTGTTGAATGGAGACATTGCATCTGAAACAAAACCGAACCCACTTCTTAGGAATGCTGCGTTCATGCAAAAGTGGGAAAAGCCGCTGGTGTATCCGCGAAGTGGAAAGAAGAAGGCTGAGGTCACACTTAGCGATCGTGAACGGTTGCTCCGGGAAGACTTCTTGAACGATAACCTGATTGCTCTCTACATGCGTTTCCTTCAAGAACACCTCGAACGCACCAACAAGGAGGCTGCCAAAAGAATCTACTTTTTCAACACCTACTTCTTTGCAACTCTCACGAACACCCCACGGGGTGATCGTGGGATCAACTACAGTGGTGTGGAGAAGTGGACTCGGAACGTCGATCTCTTCAGTTATGATTATATCGTCGTTCCTATCAATGAGAGTGCTCATTGGTATGTTGCAATCATTTGCAACTTGCCAAGCTTGTCGCTTGGTTCTGCCGACGGCGTAGAGCCGGTTCAAACGCCGGCTCTACAGAAAGAGTCCTCCAACGCGTCTGAGAGTGAGATCCAGGAGATCGAAGAGACTCCTGAGCCGGAAGCAAGCTCAAAGTCAGAGCACAATTCTTCTGACAAGGCCAGTGAACCTCGTGAGATCCGAAACGGATCTGAGCTCAGAGGGGAGCTTGACTCCCAGAGCATAGGGGACCTGGCCGCGCCCATCAGCAGCCTCCCTCCGTTCCCGAATCTCTCTAAATTTGCTGCCCAAAAGCTCGCCCAAGACCAGGCCGCGGCGTCACAACCAACCAGCAAATCGAAGAAGAAGAGAACTGGGTTAAAGTTGGACCCAAATCAAACAACTATTATCACTTTCGACTCCCTCGACATGCCTCGCTCCCCCACCATCAAAATCCTACGCGAGTATGTCTGCCGCGAAGCAGAGTCTAAACGCGGCGTGAAACTCGACCCAACCGACGTTAAGGGCATGCGAGCTCGCGATATCCCCCTTCAGCCCAATTTCTGGGACTGCGGTCTTTACCTGCTAGCATACTTAGAGAAGTTTGTTCAAAGCCCTGATTGGTTCATTACGAAGGTCTTACAGCGGAGCATGAGTTCCAAAGATGACTGGCCCCCACTAGGCTCTGGCCTCCTGCGATACCGTCTCGGAAAGTTCCTCGACGAACTTTGCGAAGAACAGGAACAGGAACACGCCAATGAGCCGGTTATGGCAGCCAGACAACCTGTTTCATTCCTGCTTGGTCCGCCCCTTCCTTGTCAGGAGGAACTTCCGAATGTTGATGTGGTACCTGAGTCTCAGCAGGATCAAGATCCTTCAAAGGACCCTGCAAAGACTGCCAATTCGAAATCCGAAGACTCGAGTGAAGATCCAATCACAGACCATATGCATCTCTTATCTACTGAACCCCCCCTTAAACGACACAAAGCATCCTCAACCCCACACGCAGACGCAAAACCGCAACATACCCATGTTCCTCCACCAAAAGAGGACCCCATCATCCAGGTGCGCGGTAGCCAGGAAGAGCCCGAGGGGCCAAGCACACCAGCGTCTCCTGCAAGAAAAGAAAGAAAGAGGCAAAGCCCACGAGGCCCTCTGCAAAAGAGATGAGTCTGTTCGTCCTAATGATGTACATAATACAAACCTAGTGTCTAAGATACTCGAATTACGAATACAGTTCTGGCTGGAACAGAACGGGCAATTACATCATGAATCATTATCTTCTCTGTTGCTTTTAGCGTTTTAATCCATGTGCAGTCATGGCATCTCCAGCATAGACATATCCCTGCATCGGTGTTCGATGAGAGGAGGATGGCGTTCTTCTCCATGTCTTTACAGCCATAGCATCAGATACCATCATCCATCGCAATGCAAATTTAATCGTTTAATTCGTGAAACTACCGATAGTAACATAACTACCTAGACACACATAAACAAGCTACCACTCACTCTCATCCGCCCCAACCCACCACGCCATCTTATCCCTCTTAAACGACTCAAAGTCCCACTCCGCATCCTCAAGCATATCCTTCCCAGCAGTATACACATAAGTCACAGCTGAAACCTCCTCCCCCTCATCAGCAACCTCGGTACTAGTCGCATCAAGCATTTCGCGAAGCCGACTCTCGTCACTAACCCCCTCACCAGCATGTTTATTTTCACCATTCAGCGCTTCCCGAAGTATGCGCACAGTAACCCGTTTCTTCTCATACTCAGAGCCCTCAAACTTATCCAGTCGGTAAACGTCGCCATCTGTTAGTCCCGACACAAGAGTTCCCATGACTGATGTCCCAGAATGGGGTTTCGGCGCGGATAATTTCTCCGTCTCAGATTGTGTCTCTGAAACTGCCATGATTCCAGGGTAATCGGCACCCTGCACGCGATGTCGTCGGTACCCGTGTAGAATGGCGGGTTGGAAGCGGAGCATGGCTTTTTGCCAGGGTTCTGGGTTGGCTTGGCCGTGGATTACTCTGTGCAAGATTTGAGGCGCCATTAAGGTTCCTATACATTTGTTAGTTTTCGTCTGGCTCATTTCAAGAGGGACTTACCGTAGAAGAAGAGAACGTGGTCGCCCATTGTGGTATGTGGGGTTGGTGAGTCGGTTGCGAGAGGGTTGACTGGTGGTCCAAAATAGTGAATACTATGGATTTTAGTATTATATTCAAGCGTCTAAATTCAGCACAAGCTCTGGATATAAAATCATAAAAAGAGAAAGAAAGAAGCTCTAAGAGTTGTCGATGTGGAGATGACAGCCCCCAGTTTATAGATGGCTTATCGATAAGACCCAAACATCCAAACAGGTCCAGCTGGCTTCATCTTCTCATCTCCCACCACACCATGCATTCCTCCTTGAACCGCATCCAGTCCGTATTCGGCTTCTTTACTACAGTCGCGCTGGTTGTCAGCGCACTGGCTGCCGTTTCGGTCGTGCTCTTCCCAGCAGATGAGACCAATGCCTCAGTGCAGCTGAAGAACGTGCAGGTGTAAGTTGAATCGCGATTCCCATTCTCCCCCCAACCCTATAATCCAGATAACGGAAAAAAGAACCACCTTTTACTAAGACTAAATTTCCGACATAACAGTGTCAAGGGCCGCCCGCACTACTACTCCACCAAACGGGAGGAATATGCCCAGCTCCGCTTCGACCTCGACGCAGACCTGAGCCCACTCTTCAATTGGAACACAAAACAGCTCTTCGTCTATGTCTACGCTACCTACTCCTCCTCCGATATCCCCGGCTCACAGGTCCGCGTCTCAGAGTCCATCATCTGGGACACTATCATCCCCGCGACCCCGTCCCCGTATTCATGGGACGTCCTGAAAGACAAGGTCCTTGCGCTTCTTCCCGCGTCTGTTTCATCTGAGGTTGTGGCCGCTGCAAAGAGGAACGCTAAGCGCCATGCTAAGTCGGTTAAGTCGACTAAGAGTAAGAAGGAGGCTTTGCCGACCGGTGTTTTGAGACTGCGTGGTCAGAAGGGTAAGTACCAGATCAGTGATATTACTGGTCGTCTGGCTGAGCGTCAGAATGTTACTCTTCATGTTGGATGGAATGTTCAACCTTGGGTTGGTGCTTTGTTCTGGGCGCCTGGTACTGGTACGGTGCCGCGGACTGGTGGGACGATTGTTAGCAGTGAGCCTTTTGATTTCCCTGAGGTGAAGGATACTAAAAAGGCTGCTGCTGAGAAGAGGGCTAGGGAGGCGCAGAAGGCGGAGAAGGCCAGTGTATAGGCATTTGGGTCTGAGATAGGGAGTTGGGATCTACATGTTTTCTTTTTACTTGGGAGCTTTGGTTAGAATGCTCACCTATACAGTTGTGTTTTGAAAATGATACATATGAAACACATTGGATGGAAAATCATCTTTCTCATTTTACTTGTTTCAGATGGGTCTAATTATGCCCGAAAGATGATAATGGATCAATGCTATGGATACAGCTGATACACCAAAGGTAGACGTTTGCTTAGGTTCAGCCATAGAGTGCCGACCGTCGATATACTGGGCCAGGCAATTCGAGCAAGAGTTCGAGGTATCGAAAGAAAATCAAATGGTACCATAGGTCTGGCCTGCTGGTGCCTGGTGAAGGCCTCCATTCTGGACGCGATCGGAGTAGACGCCTGGTGCGGGCCGTTGCGAGGCACGGGTCAATGGATCGCGATTGCGACGCTCATAAAAGACGTATTCCAGATAGAAGGCATGGATGTGTCCGGGGAAGTACCTGGACATACCGCTGGTTAGTTTTCGAATATGACGGAAGTCGGGATATCTGGTGTAACACTCACCCAAGACATGTGAATAGGACGTTGATCCAGAAGTCAATTCCACAGCCTGCAATCAAAAAGACACCAAGAGGGGGGACTATTTGGAATGTTAGCAGATTGTTCTGGTGGAGATAGCTTGTATAGAATGAGGGGCGATCTTGGTATCATTGTGAGGGGTGGATTTTTGGTGGATTATTTCGGGCAGCAGAGTGCATTTACTTACGGAATATGGTGATGATGATCAAACAAAGGGTCGAGCAAGCGCCGGACATGATTGCGGTCTTTGATGTGTGCTGTGTTACTGTTCAGGTTTGGTAGAACGAGGTTCGGCGGCTAGAAAACTGAGAATGACAAAGAGGAGGTTGAAAAGATGAATAGGGAAATTGTCATCTGCGGGGAGTTAATACGTTTCATCTCGATCTTGGCCACGACGTCACGACTTGGACTGAAAGGAGCTGTGGTAGGGCTGAGGCAGCCGTGAAGCTGATTTGCTGAAGGGACATGCAATGACGTCATCCCGAACTAGTACCGCCACATCTGTGTGAATGTGGCTGGTGTCTCGACTGTGGGATGTGGCGGTGTTTTGTGTACATAGACGGCAAGTATAGTTGACGGGCAGGTACATTGGACGGACTTGGAGATGTACAGGTACTGGGAATATATTTCCTGTAATATTCCCAGTTTTCAAGTCCTATACTGCATCAATTGCCGCCCGAGTTGTCACCTGCTCGTTCTTATTGCCAAGCTTTGAGATCTGCAAAAACGCATCCACTCCGTATCCTTCCAGACTGTGCAGCTCTAAGCTGCCTGCCCAGTACTCAGCATAGACTCGGCTCATGGGGAGACCCATCCCCAGACGGAGATTCGGCGGTCGTGATGTCAATGTGTCCAGGGATCCTTCATGATATACTTCCCGGTCGGTGTGTTTATTGTGTGACACTTGCAGTTCTTGCATCGTCGCCGCCATTGCAGGGACACGTCCGAGATTTTCCAGTCGGGACTGCGTGCGAGGGCCCTTGCTGAAGGACCACAGGTATGGTAGAATCTCTCGAGGAATTCCTCCTCCTTGATCAGAAATGCGCATTATCACATGCTGCGGGGTCTCGCACACGAGCACTTCGATGGGTGGTGGGGGTTGGTCCGAATGCTGATATTTCTCCATGACTGCTTGCACTGAGTTGCGGAGAAGTTCTCCGATAATATATTCCAGGTGACTCAAGATATACGGGAACGTCGCGTCCGCATGGCCCTGGACCGTGATCGCGGGGATCTGGGTCGAGTCCGATATGTTCCGCATCAGATCTTGTGCGACCTTTCCACATCGCTCGACTACCTCCTTCGCCTTACACTTTAGGAACACCTCGCCCACAAAGTCTGCATTCATGTCGGTTCGGTCGTGGGAATCGGGGAAGTGCCATGGCGAGTTGAAGGTTTCGGTCAGCGCTAGGTGTTGCTCTGCAATGACTCGGCGGGAGATTCGCTGCCGAGGAAATACTTGTCAGCTAGGAGGCAGACCGAAGATCGGCCTTACATACCGCTCGCAAAAGTGTGTTCATTAACCGGTCCATTTCGTCCGCTGGAGCAAGATGGCGGCATTCCAGTACTCCCATTGCCAGGTTGGGTATCGCAACCAGATGCTCTCGCAGCATTTCCTTCAGAATCTCACAGAAATGATCATTATCTTCAAGTGTCTTGATCTCGGGAACTACCCGAAACTTCTCAAATGCTTTGTAGTACAGTTCGTATACAAGGGTTAGATGGGGGTTGGCAACCACCACATATGGCAGCTGTTGGATGTCTCGCAGTCGATGCGCGAGCCTATCCAATGACTATTATCAGATTTTTTCCAATTTTGTTGATTGTCGCTCAACTTACCGAGTAGGTAGCTCCGTCCGGACATAGTTTGCGGAACTGATGAGTCGTGGTTCGGTCAAGGTACGGCCAAAAAAGGTCAACTGGCGAAGACTGATAGGCCGAATAGCTCGTTCCACCCACCTGTCCGTATATCCCAGTTAGTGTCGTCATTTCAAGCTTTAAGAACGTGAGTCACTCATACTCATCTACTGCAGAAACTGGCCGCCATGGTGGCGGGCTATGAGCTCCAGAATAGAAGCGTTTAGATGGAGACTGGAGGAGCTGCCAGCTTCTAGCTGGATAAGACAACCTCATTGTGCTCCATGCACTCATTCAATAAATACCAAGACCATATAAGTGCTCTCACTATGTGCATGCGTGTAGTTGGGACTTGTAGGTGTTTGGGGTTGCCGGGCGGTGAGCCAAGCATGTGACACCGGTCAACACAATTAGCAAGTTTCTTGTTTTTTTTGTTTGTATCTTTCTTTATATATATCCTTACTCCGTTTACGGAGTTTATATATATGTGTATTACTCTAAATGCCGATGTCATACGATTTGGCTCATCCGAAGTTGCCTCGGATCTGAAGGACTCGCACGGACTTGGGGCTAACGCATCAGGCTTGTGAGTTGAATCATCTGAGAGACACGTATCTGATGGTTGAGAGTATTCAAATGAATAGATAGATTGGCTTTTTAACTAAAACATACCTAATCTATGTAGCTATCTATATCAACAAATCGGACCAGTATAAAAAGCTTGGAATACATAGGGCTTTCTTCACCGTATATATACTCGTGTACACCTGCATATATTATTGCGCACTGCCAATTTAAGGCAAATTCCTTCTAATTTGAAAAAGAGAACAAGTCAGAAGTGAACTATTTAACTACAAATAAGCATCTAATCAAAGACAGATCTCATTCACGTCCACAATATCAACTGCCGAGCCCTCGAGGCTCCGCCACCGCTAGCTCCGGCCCTTATTATTTTGCGGGTTCAGACGAATTTCCTCCACCACCGGCATTTACAGCTCTACAGTGTATTCTTTCCAACATTCTTGTCTTTTTTATTCACAAACCTTCCTTAAAATACAAAACTCTGTCGCCTTCCGGGACGGGAAGGCGCTTTCCGCGATGGAGAACGTGAGAGATGCCCCGACCGTGCCCCTCGCTAGTGTCGTCATTGGAACTAACCCTGTTCTACCAGCTCGCGGAGAACGACATGCTTGTCGATGATTATGATCAATACCCTGCTGAAAAGACCGATGTCGTCGTTGTGTCCCGGTCGGGATCCGACGAGCCTGAATCCCCACCGACCGCAGATGACCGTATGTCCTTTGTTGCTTCTCTTTCCCTACACAACAGGGCGGTTTGACGGGCTGGACAAAGCATGGCACCCGGATGAGATCCGCCCTCGAGAAATACACTGCATGTTTGTTTGTACTGGTCGCTAATCAAGAGGATGGATATAGACGCGGCAATGATGGCAAAGGTCCTCCCTCACAACGCCGACCTCGAAACCCTAGAAGAGGTTCACAACTCATGGCGCTTGTCAGACTGGCGGAATATGGATCGCAAGTCACACGGACCCATCTTCCGATGTGGTGGCTCCCCATGGTAGGTGCCTGAAATCTCTTTGCCTAGATGGCTATATGGCTCTGTATTAGCATTGAAACTGACTCGAGAATAGGCGCATCCTCTTCTTCCCCTACGGCAACCAGACCGAATTCGCCTCGTTTTACCTCGAACATGCATGGGAGAACGGACCCCCGGAGAACTGGTACGCTTGTGTGCAGTTTGCGCTGGTCTTGTCAAATGTGAACGATCCTTCCATTTATACACACCACGGTATGACATTCAATTCTACAGGGATTGTGCGATCAGAATGCTAAGTTAAATTTTAGTCGCGACTCACCGTTTCACCGCCGAGGAAGGGGATTGGGGCTTCACCCGGTTCGCTGACCTCAAGGGTCTATTTAGTCGTGCGTGGGAGGGAAAGTCCGTCCCATTAGTGCAGGATGATGAGGCAATTATTACTGCCTATGTTCGTGTAGTGAAGGATCCCACGGGAGTCTTGTGGCACAGTTTCCAAAAGTATGATCTCTCCGACTGGTTTGACCGATTGAAGCTAACTTGCTCTTTTTCTCTAGCTACGACTCGAAAAAAGAGACTGGAATGGTAGGATTGAGGAATCAGGGAGCTACATGCTACTTGAACTCACTTTTGCAATCGCTCTATTTCACAAATGCTTTCCGCAAGGTACGCAAGAAGTAAAAAAGGAAATTAGAATGATTTCCACATTATTCGGACTAACCAATATCCTTAGGCTGTTTACCAGATACCGACTGAACAGGAAGCTACGCGTGAGAACAGCGCGTGGGCTCTCCAGAGATTATTTTACAACCTGCAGACCAATGATTCTGCTGTTTCTACAACCGAGCTCACCGCATCTTTTGGCTGGCAATCCAGCCAGATCTTTGAACAGCAAGATGTACAGGAGCTCTCGAGAAAGCTCATGGAACGATTGGAGCACAAAATGAAGGGTACTGTTGCAGAAAAAGTTCTGCCTGACCTGTTCGTCGGAAAAACAAAAACGTATATTTCTTGCATTAATGTCGATTACGAGTCTTCGCGTGTGGAGGACTTCTGGGATATTCAACTCAATGTTCGAGGCAACAAGACCTTAGACGACAGCTTTAGGGATTACATTCAGGTCGAGACGCTAGAGGGGGAGAACAAGTACGAAGCTGGGCAGCCATATGGCCTGCAAGACGCTAAGAAGGGTGTCATCTTCGAGAGCTTCCCTCCCGTGCTCCATCTTCACCTCAAACGTTTCGAGTACGACCTCAACCTCGACATGATGGCCAAGGTTAATGATTATCACACATTCCCTATGGAGTTTGATGCGGCTCCTTACCTTTCTGAGAGCGCTGACAAGTCGGAATCCTGGGTTTACCAATTGCACGGTGTTCTCGTTCACAGCGGTAACCTCGATGCCGGGCATTACTATGCCTTCATCAAACCTACCAAGGATGGATACTGGTACCGCTTTGATGATGACCGAGTTAACCGAGCTACCGACAAAGAAGTCCTAGATGAGAACTACGGAGACAACCAGCAGCGCACGAACGGAACGACAGGAGGACGATCCGCTATCCGCACAAACAACGCCTACATGTTGGTTTACGTCCGAAAGACAAGACAGGACAATGTGTTCTTCCCGGTCACAAAGGATGATGTGCCCTCTCACATTGGTATGTCCGAAGTTCCTTCTTCATTAGAGAATTGAATGGCTAATTATGTAATAGAAAAGCGTATGACCGAGGACCGGTTGGAGATGTTGCGTCGGAAGAAGGAGAAAGAAGAAGCCCACCTTTACATGAATGTCGGCCTCCTTAACGAAGATGCCTTCCGA